TTTTGAGACAGGGTTTCTCTGTGTAGCTTTGAAGCCTATCCTGACACTCACCCTGGAGACCAGGCTGGCCTCAAACTCACAGAGATCCTCCTGCCTCTGCCTCCCGAGTGCTGGGATTAAAGGCATGCGTCACCAAAGCCTGGCAAGTGTTTAAGGTTTTAAAAGTCACTATTCACTTAAGTGTGCTCGGAAAACCACCCTACTGTGAATAAGGTTTTACAGGGATGTGAACCATGTAAGGTCAATCAGAGGATAATGAGTGTAATTACAACTTAAAAAGATGACAAAATAAGATGTTCGAGGTCTGTCACAGGTCATAAACTTTCTCTCTCTCTCTCTCTCTCTCTCTCTCTCTCTGTGTGTGTGTGTGTGTGTGTGTGTGTGTGTGTGTGTGTACGCTAGTGTTTAAGAGAGAGCAAGTGTGTTTGAGGGAGTACTTTCCACCTGTTGAGGGTTTTATTTATTTACCTCGTTTTCTTCATTTACATTTCTAACAAAATATTTGGCAGATTAGAAGACTACAGAGAGCACTATAGAAGGTAGAAGATCTTGGATCTTCCTAGGCCTCCAAGGATATCTGAAGTTACATAGAACTATTGAAAGTGAACAGGCCGTGCGCTGGTGGTGCACGCCTTTAATCCCGGCACTCGGGAGGCAGAGGCAGGCGGATTGCTGTGAGTTTGAGGCCAGCCTGGTCTTCAGTGCAAGTGCCAGGATAGGCACCAAAGCTACACAGAGAAACCCTGTCTCAAAAAAAAAAAAAGGAAAGTGAACAGAAGAGGACCTGGCCTTGCTGGTGTGGATCATGTAGGAGATAGGATTAGTCAAGTTGTGAAGATACCATCATCAACAATAGTAAATCTTTAATGTAATATAGGACACTCTCTTTTGTCATAGCTGAATAACAAGCTTGCAGGAGATTATGGGGCTGGATGTGGCTCAGTGGAGAGCAGTTGCCTACCAAGGCCCTGAGTTTGATCCCCAATGTTACCTCTCTGCTGGGGGATTCTGTATATGAAGGAGTGTTTTGTTTGGTTGGTTTTGGTTTGGTTTTTGTTTGTTTAGTCTAATAAATAGCACATTGCTTTCTAATACTGAACCGTGTGTAGTCTCAGCTCATCTGGTATTTTGTTTTAAAACCAGGATCTCATCTTGTGGGCCAAGCCATCCTTGTGCCTCAGCATCCCTAGTAGTAGCAGTCTTGACAGTTTGTTTGTTTGTCTCTGGGTAACATTAGAAATATTTCTCATGTGTAGTACTTGGGAAGCAGAAGCACGATATTTCGCTCAGATAATTGTCTTCTGATTTCTTGTCATATACAACCTGTTACCTTCTCTTTCTCCCTTCCCTAAAGCTCCCTCTTCCCCTCTCATGTTCCCTTTATAGCTTCATCCGTTTCTCTGTCTTCTCTGTCTCTGTCTCTGTCTCTGTCTCTGTCTGTCTCTCTCTTTCTCACACACACACACACACATATTGGGGGGGTCTAGATTTCTTTCATATAGAAGAGAAAAAACAAATATAATATTTGTTTTTCTGATTCTAGCTTATTTCCTTTAACGTAATGGCTTCTAGTTGCATCTATTTACCCATAGGTGTCATAATTTCAATTTTCTTTATGATTGTATGAAATTCTATTGTCTAGGTATCACATTTTTGTGTACCTGTACTGTCTAATTTCTTGGCTTAAGTGACTATTCATCAGTTAAGATGGATGTTAAAGTGTCTGTCCGGTATGTTGTCTTAAATCCCCTCAGGTCCAAGAGTGACACAGCTGGGTCGTTTTGGTAGTTCTTTAAGTTTTTGAATAACCTTCACACTGGCTTCCACAGTGGCTGAACTAGTTTGCTGTCTCCTCCCTCATCCTCTCAGTGTCTAAAGGTTCTTTCCCTGTGTGCTTGCCAGATTGGTTACAATTTGTTTTTGATGACAGCCATTCTGACTGGGGTGAAATGGAGTCTCAAGGCAGATTTATTCCACATTTTCCTGATGGCTAAGGATATTGAATACTTTCCCAAGTAGTTCTTAGCTGTTTGTAGTTGTTTCCAGAATACTCTACTCAGTTCATTAGATTCATTTATTGAGTGCATGATTTGTTTTTTGTTTAATTTTTGCAGTTCTTTATATATTCTTGCTATTAATCCCCTGTCTGGTATATAGTTGACAAAGACTTTCATTCCTAGACTCTGTCTTCCCTGTAGTGATTCTGTCCTTGACTGTGTAGAAGCTTCATTTATGCAAACCATCCTAATAGTTCTTGGGCTTATTTTTTGTGCTGTTGGAACCCTGTACTATGAACAGTTCCTCTAGTACTTCCCAGCTTCCAG